AAAAAAAAAAAGAAACAAAGATTACGATTGAAAGCAATTAAAATATAAATCATTAAAACTTTGAATATCAAATATAAATAATACATACATAATGATAAAATACTCAAAAATAAGATAATAATATATTTTTTTATGTACTAAATCTTACATTTTAATTTGCTTTTATATTTTGAAATTTGATAACGCACGAAAAATACAATATATAACTTATCGCTTAAAGAGTATTTTATTCCATAGAAAATATAAGTCCATTTATACATATACGTGTGTAACGTTTTATGAAAGTTGATTAAGATTAAAAAAAAAAAAGAAAAAAAACTAAATCTCGATCATGAGAAATTAATATACTTTACAATACTGATACATGGTACTTACTTGAAAAATAATTAACAGTACTCATTAAATTGTATTGATTAATAGTACTCATTAAATTTACAATTCACAGAGATGCGTGTGACCATCTATTCTTGAAATTAAAGAATACATTATTAAGACAAAAATGAAATTTCAAACGAATAAGAAACAAACGACGATAAAATGCAAAATATGTTGAGTGGAAAAAATTCCATTTTTTAACTCGTAAAATTAAAAATAAAATTCGAAATATAATTAAAAAAAAAAACTTAAAAATTAATACATTTAAAAAATTAATATTTACTATGATTTTGACAATTGCATTGTGCCGTTCGGAAAAGGAGTCTAATCTCTGTTGACTATGGACAGCTCATATTATGGTAATTTCTTTTATACACATATTTTTTTAAAGTTCGCATTGATCCACAAGTTTTTTTCGTTCAACGAACTTTCGCGAGACGCACGAAAAGTACAGAATTCGTTGGCCTTAGTCACTACGTTCCGTACAAAGATTTCATCGTAAACGGCTTTAAATTATTAAATTATTATTTACATTCACTCTCTCTCTCTCTTCGCTGACTAATTTTGATTTAGCCCTAGGACAGACTAGAAGGTGGATAGATCCTTATGTATAAATTATTGATTTTCGATGTACCGTTGTGAACTTTTAATATGTTC